CTGTGGTTGACAACCCCAACCACATAGTGATGTGTCGCACATGCAGATAAGTCATCTGCATGTCTCACTCCGAGGCCACATGTCACTCAGCCAGGAATCCCCATCCCGTCGGAGCCTATTGTCTGCCAGCAGCCAATAACTATCAGTAACTGCTTGGTTTGATCCAGCCTTGTCAGTGTCAAGTTAGCATGCCGCCATGTCGATGCTAGCATCTATCCAATATTACATCACAAATTGAAGAGTTATGTAGACATCCGCTTCATCTGGCATGCAATTAATTCTCATGTGCGTGCCTTGCCCAATTGATGCCACCCATAATCTTCACACACACCTTATGTGCAGCATAGTTCACTTGTGCTAGTAACCTTGTTCCATGTGCGCATTGCATGGCATGTGCCTTAACTCGGTGCTGGGCCTGCTCCACACGTGGCACACATATATGTGCAGCCACAGCTTGTTATGCACCTCCAAGGGTCTACCGTCACTCGGTGTGCCTGCTTGTTTTGGTAGTTCGTTGTGTGCTCACCTGCACTTGCTCTTCTTGAAGCGCTTGCAAGTTACAACATGTCGTTGTGTGATTATTCGTGCAACATCTCTCGGCGCAATTGCTGATCACCCACACCCCCTGTGCGTTCGCCACTGCTTTCAACATGTCTTTGTCTTGAGTTGCTTGCTGCATGTTTTAGTCTCACATGCCCAGCACGCTGGCATCGCATTGCTCGCCCACACATGATGTGCCATTGTTATGCTTGCCCTGCATCTGCTTGCAGGTGCACCATAACTGTCCAAGGCTCGCGCACACAGCCAGTGTTGTGTGCCTCTGTGCGCGACAATTGCTGTGCGCCTGCATGTGCAACCAGTATTTTGCACTGTGTGTGGCCAGTGCTTTGTGATTGCACGCCCTTGTGCTGCAATTCGGGCCAACATTCTGAATAGCCTATCTTCACCTTCCTCGCTGCTCATGGTGCATATAAAGTGCTGGAAGCATGCGCCACATGTGCCAAGGATGAGGGTCTGACAAACCACCCTACTGTAAAGAGGCGATTCCCTTGTTGATGCAAGCAAATAATCTTTGTACGATCTAGTCTACTTCGTAAATTTCCATAAATCTGCAGCTCTTTTTCACTATT